ACAGGATTGCGAGTGCACAGTTGGAGACTCCATCCGGGCCAGTCGCTTTCCTCGGGCTTACTTTCAAGAAGACCATTCTGAAATCTGCAGTGGTGACAGAGGGAACGGCCCGTTCAGGGTTGTCGGGGCAGGTGACACCGCATGACTGGCACTCCGCTCGAACTGAGCAGAGCACATCAGGAAGGGATGTGTTTTTGTTCGCTATTTTGTTCTGCTTCATTTTGTATCCCGTTATGTTGTGTAGGCTTTGCCATAGGTGGCGGGTGTCCGTGTAGTTAGTTTGGGCCTCTAATTTGGTCCAGTACTGCATCTTGGCATCTCTAATGGCTTTGTGGAGGTCATATGTGGATTTCCTGTATAGGTCTGGGTTGTCTGACTTGAATGCCACACCACTGGTCTTCATTAGGCAGTGGATTTCCCGTTCATCCAAGGTTTCCAGTTGGGGACACCATCTCAGAATAACAGATATGCAATTTAGGACTCAGATACCAGAATATCTTGACTCAGAGGGTGGTGAATCTTTTAAATTCTCTACCTCAGAAAGCCATGGGGCACTTGCAACTGAATATATTACAGTACACTAGGAGTATATTAAGAGTATAATTAACATGTGATTCATGCTTACAATGTCAAAATATCCTTTTTTTTTCCAATAAGGGAACCAAAACTGTGCACAATACTCAAGGTGCAGTTTCACCAAGATGCTATACAAGACCTCTTTACTCCTGTATTCAAATCCTTTTGCCAGTGGAGGGTTGCAACAAAGAGACCTTGGAGTGCAGGTTCACAGTTCCCTAAAAGTGGAGTCATAGGTAAACAGGACAGTGAAGAAGGCGTTTGGTATGCTTGCCTTTATTGGTCAGTGCATTGAGTATAGGAATTGGAAGTCATGTTGCGGTTGTACAGGACATTGGTTAGACACTATTTGAATACTGCATGCAATTCTGGTTTCCCTGCTATAAGAAGGATGTTGTGAAACTTGAAAGGGTTCAGAAAAGATTTACAAGGATGTTGCCAGGGTTGGAGGGTTTGAACTGTAGGGAGAGGCTAAATAGACAGGGGCTATTTTCCCTGGAGCATCGAATGCTGAGGGGTGAACTTATAGAGGTTTATAAAATCATGAGGAGCATGGATAGGGTTAATAGACAAGGTCTTTTCCCTAGGGTGGGTGAATCCAAAACTTGAGGGCATAGATTTAAGGTGAGAGGGGAAAGATTTAAAAGAAACCTAAGGGACAACTTTTTCACGCAGAGGGCAGTGCATGTATGGAATGAGCTGCCAGAGGAAGTGGGGGAGGCGGGTACAATTGCAACATTTAAAAGGCATCTGGATAGATATATGAATAGGAAGGGTTTAAAGAGTATGGGCCAAATGCTGGCAAATGGGGCTAGACTTATTCAGGATATCTGGTCAGCATGGACGAGTTGAACCGAAGGGTCTGTTTCCATGCTGTATATCTCTGTGACTCTATACTATTTACCTTTTAATTGCTTTTTGCAGCTACATGAGCTTTCAGTGACTTAAGAAGCAAGATTATCGAGGTTCCCTTTGAACATCACCCCTTCTCAATCTTTCACAATTTATGAAGTGTTTTGCATTTGTCTTTCCTACCAAAGTGAATAACTTCATACTTTTCCACATCATGTACCATTTGCCATGTTTTTTCCTGTTCACTTACTTTGTCTATTCCCTTAAAACCTCTGAGTCATAGAAATCTACAACGTAGAAAAGGCCCTTCAGCCCATCATGCCTGCATTGGTCCAAAACAACAACCTAACCTCTTTGTACCCTCCTCACAACTCATGTTCCTCGATAATTTCATGTCAATAGCAAGCCTTGAAATATATTTCATCCACACATCCAAATCATCTATGGCGAGACAGCAACTAAGGACAGAATAGGGCCCCTTAAAGATCTATGAGGCCGTCTATGTGTGGAAGCACAGGAAATGAGTGAGATCCTAAATGAGTATTTTGCGTCAGTATTTACAGTGCGGAAGGACATGAAAGCTAGGGAACTTGGGGAAATAAAGTTGTGTCCATATTACAGAACAGAAGGTACTGGAGGTCTTAAAATGTATAAGAGTACATAAATCCCTGGGATCTGATCAGGTGTATCACAGAAATTTGTGGGAAGCCATGGAAGAGATTGCTGAGCCCCATGCTGAAATATTTGTATCATCGACAGCCACGGGTGAGGTGCTTGAATACTGAAGGATGGTTAATGTGGTGCCATTAATGATGGGGAGTTTGTCAGAGGGGATTCTGAGGGACAGGATCTACATGCGTTTGCAAAGGCAAGGACTGATGAAGGATAGTCAACATAACTTAGTGTGGGAAATCATGTCCCACTAACTTAATAGCGTTTTTTGAAGAGGTGAAAGAAGATTGATGAAGTCAGAGCAGTAGATGTTGCCTACATGGATTTCAGCAAGGCGTTCGACAAGGTTCCGCATGGTAGACTGGTTAGCGAGGTTAGATCACACTGGAATCTAGGGGGAGCTAGCGAACTGGATACAAAGTTGGCTTGAAGATAGGAGACAAAGGGTGGTGGTACAGGGTTGTGTACTGGAAGCCTGTGACCAGCAGTGTGTAGCAAGGATTGGTGCTGGGTTGATTGCTTTTTGTCACTTATATAAAGGATTTTGATGTGAATATAGGAAGTATGGTTAGTAAGTTTGCAGATGACACCAAAATTGATGGTGTAATGGACAGAGAAGAAGGTTATCACAGGGTACAATGGGACCTTGATCAGATGGGCCAAGGAGTGACAGGGTGAATGGATAGGGTGAATACCCAAAGGTCTTTTTGCCAGGGTAGGGGTATCCAAAACTAGAGGGCATAGGTTTAAGGTGAGGGAGGAAAGATTTAAAAGGGACCTAAGAGGTAACTTTTTCATGCAGAGGGTGGTGCGTGTACAGAACGAGCTGCCAGAGAATGTGCTGGAAGGAGATACAATTACAATATTTGAAAGGCATCTGGAAAGGGTACATGAATAGTAAGGGTTTAGAGGGACAAAAACAAAAGTTGCAGGAAAAGCTCAGCAGGTCTGGCAGAGTTACCGTTTCAGATCCTTCCTCAAAATAAAACCAAAAGAACTGCGGATGCTGTAAAAAGGGTTTAAAGGGATATGGGCCAAAGAGTCTGCTTCTGTGCTGTATGACTATGATTGTGAATAACTGGAACCCAAGCACTGATTCTTGTGGAGCCACAAGTATGATAGTCTGCCAATCTGAGAATAGCCAATTTATTCACTCTGTTGACTGCCTGTTAACCAATTCCTAATCCATGCCAGTATGTTACCACCAATCCTACATGCTGTAATTGTGATTACAAACCTGCTGTGTCGATCATTAATTCTAAATTCACCATATCCACTGGTTCCGGTATCTGTTTTGCTCGTTATGTCCTCAAAAAATTCCAACACGTTTAGCAAGCGTGAATTGCCTTTCTCATAAATCCATGTCTAATCTGTCCAATCCTACTATTATTTTCTAAGTGATCAATTCTCACTTTATCATGGATTCTAGACCCTTCCCTCCACTGTGATATCGGGACATTTTTGAAGTTATCAATGTAACCATGTTCACAAATACTCTTTCTCTCAATCTTTCTTATTTTACAGCCTGGTAGATGTCAGGTGCCTGCAAATCCTTACAGAGGTGCTCCTTGCAGTTCTTACCTTATGAAGTCGATACCATTCAAAGAAGTTGTGCAGCAGCTGTCTAAATCTATTACAGGCAGATACTGGGATGATTACCACAAAGCCCCATATTACGTTTACCTGGTAAGACTGCCAAATTGAAACAAAAAGTTTACAATTTTGCAAAGATCGGTATCAGGTCAGAAGATTGGATACCTGTGATTTAACATCATAGCCTTCGAGAGGCAGTCTCACAGGGCAGTTGGAAAATCATAATCATTAAGCAGAGTCAAGATGGATTTGTGAAAGGGAAGTCATAAATATGTTACCGTTTCTTGAGAGTAAAACTACAAAAATGGATAGGGGCGGTATGATGGCTCATACTCCTTGTGTCTGTGTGGGTTTCCTCCGGGTGGTCTGGTTTACTCCCACAGTCCAAAGATGTGCAGGTTAGGTGGATTGGCTATGCTAAACTGTCCTGTAGTGACCAGGAATGTGTAGGCTGGGTGGATTAGTCATGGGAAATGCAGGGTTACAGGGAAGAAGGTAAGGGGTTTGACTGGGTGGGATGCTCTTTGAAGGGTCAGTGTGGACTTGATGGATGAATGGCCTGCTTCCACACTGTAGGGACTTTCTGATTTCTAAGAGCTGCACTTGGTGTATCTGAATTTTCAAATAGCATTCGATTGGTGCCCATGAGAGATTGTTACACCAGAATCACACTCTTGGGGGCTAATATGTTATATGATTAATATGTAATATCTTTTATAGACATGGGGCAGACAATAGGAATAAACTAGTCATTTTAAAGTAAACAAGCTGTAACTGGTTGAGTTCTGCAAAGAACAATACTTGGGCTTCAACTAATTACAATCTACATCAGTGACTTTAGATGAAGGAATGGGAACTGGCTTTTGTGGTACAATGGCGGTGTCTCTACCTCTTGGGTCAGAAAAGCCTGGGTTTAAAGCGTGTCATAATACATTTGAACAAATTAACTGAAAATATGTAGGGGAGGGAATTGATTATAACATGTCAAACTTTGCTACCTGTATGAAATTAGGAGGGAAATGTGAGCTACGAAATGGATATCTAGGACAAAAAGTGCTTTCTTTGGCTCTTCTTAGTGATTTTGTCAAAAGCTACCTTTTGTTTTCAATGGTAGATTGGATTGATTTCAGGAGTTCCTCTTCCATCCTTACTGAATTATTTATTAAATCACACAGTAAAAATGCCTTCTGCAATTGTGTAGAAAAATGGGATATTTAGATTCTATGAGAATTAGAAGAATCTACCAATATGCTGAATTATTATCAACTCTACAATAAATCAAAAACCACAACACATAAGGCAAACAGTAATTTCTTAGACATCGCAGTACTTCAATTAGCACAAGACATCAGGCATCACTCAGCAACAAATGCTTTTCAAAATAACCGATACACATTTTTACACACAAACAGACATCACCCTAAACTCTCATTTCAGTTTGGTAAGTTTATAGCAAATACATTTCAATCATATTTGCCAAAATGATAAAGAGGGAGTTGATGGCAAACTTGCAAGTAATATCAAGATGAATAGCAAGAGTTTATTTAAATATATAAAATAGAAGAGAGAAGCAAAAGTGAATGAGGCTGGGGAAATAAGATAGGGAAGCAGGAAATGGCAGAGAAATTAAATAAATACTTTGCATCAATCTACACAGCAGAAGACACTAATAGTATTCTGAAAGTATTAAATAACCAAGGGACAGAAGGTCAGGAAATAAATACAGTAACTATCACTAGAGAAAATCTTGTTGGGAAACTATTGGGGGTAAAGACTGATATGTCCCCAGACCTGATGCGATGTATCCTAGGATATTAAAGGAAACAGCTACAGAGACAGCAGATGCACTGGCAGTAATCTTGATACAGTGTGGAGCTGCAGGAACACAGCAGGTCAGATAGCATCAGAGGAGTAGGAGAGTTGATGTTTTAGGCCTAGACCCTTCATCAGGACTTAGGAGGGGGAAGGGAAATAAATAGAGGGAAGAGAGGTGGGGCTGGGTGAAGGGAGGTGGGATGGCGATAGGTGGATACAGGTAGGGGTAGTGGAGATTGGTGAGTGGGAAGGGTGGGGCGGATAGGTGGCCTCCTCTACATCGGTGATGGACAGGTATTGCGGAGCACCTGTGTTCAATAGTAGGGGGCATATTTTTAGGGTGAGAGGAGAAAGGTTTAAAAAAGACATAAAGGGCAAACTTTTTACATAGAGGGTGGTTTGCGTGTGGAATGAACATCTTGAGGAATGCGGATGTGGGTACAATTACAACACTTAAAGGACATTTGGATAAGTACATGAATGGGAAAGGTTTGGAGGGATACAGGCCAGGAGCAGGCAGGTGGGACTAATTTAGTTTGGGATTGTGTTTGGCATGGACTGATTGAACCAAAGGGTCTGTTTCTGTGCTATGTGACTATATGAGAGTAAGAGCCCATGATTTTGGAAATGGTATATTAGCATAGATAGAGAATTGACTAACTAATAGAAGACAGAGAGTTCGGATAAGGGGGACATTTTCAGGACGGCAATCCAGAACTACTGGAGAATCACAGGGATCATTTCTGGGACCAATTATAACATAGATTAATGACTCAAATTAGGAAGGTAAATGTACTATTGCCAAGTTTATGGATGACACAAAAATAACGTGGGAAGGTAAGTGGTGAGGATGACAAAAACAGTCTGCAGAGGGATAAAAACAGGTTTAATGAGCAGGAACAGATTGAATATAGCGTGAAAAATGTATATTTATGCATTTGTCAGGAAGAATAGAGGAGCTAAGTATTATTTAAATCGGGAAGGACTGCAGAAAGCTACAGAACAGAGGGATTTAGGATCATTGTCCATGAATCATAAAAAGTGAGCATCTAAACTCAGTGCTGATAGGAAAGGGAAATTGAATGCTGGCCTTTACTTCAAAGAGAATGGAGCATAAAGATAGTGAAGTCTTGCTAAAACAATACAAGGCGCTTGTAAGACCAGGTGGAATACTGTGAATAGTTTTGGGCCCTTTGTATGAAGAAAGATACACTACATTGGAGATAGTTGAGAGAAGGTTCACTTAGCTGATCCCAGATGTGGGGTGACTGTCTTATGAGGGGCTGAGTAAATTGGGCCTGTACTCACTGGAGTTTAGAGGAATGAGAGGTGGTCTTATTGAAACATATAAAGCTGTTAGAGGACTTGACACAGTACGTGCAGAAAGGCTGTTTCCTCTTGTGGGAAAGTCTACAATTAGACAGCATAATCTCAGAATAAGTTGTTGCCCATTTAAGACAGAGATGAGGAAGCATTTCTTCTGTCAGAGGGTAGTGAATCTATGGAATTCTTTACTGCAGAGGGCTGTCGAGGCTGGGCCATTAAGTATATTCAAGGCTGCAAGAGACATTTTTAATCTGTAAGGGAATCAAGGGTTATTGGGAGAAGGCAGAAAAGGCAGTTACTAACTTTTTACTGCATCTCAGATTTGAATTTAACACAGTATCCATTATAATCATGTCCACTATATTTTTCTCAATATATTAACTTCTGAACACGTGGAGCTTCAAAGGTAAAGATTCTGCATTCAAGTGCTCAGAACTAATGACCTACAATGAACAGGGTATTCATTTGTTGACGAGTTTAAACTCTTCTCTCGTGTTTACACCCTCCCTCTCCCAAACTTGCAGTTTCCTATTTGTCTCTGCAGACCCTGTGCAGCCTCTCCAATTTCCTACACTCCTCTTTGTAGGCTCCCTGCTCATGACCTCCATCTTACAGCAATATAAACAGAAATTGTTGTCAAACCTCAGCAGGTCTGGCAACATCTGTGGGAAGAAAGCAGAGTGAACTTTTCGAGTCTGTTGACTCTTCATCAAAATTACAGTGCGTTCCTTCTCTCAGCCACCGTGAAACCCCTTCCTCCCCCACTCCTTGCCTAGGCCATGGTAGACAAAATGCTCGAGAGTTGACTCCTCACCATCTGCCCACTCAGCCTCAGCATTCCTTGCGGGGGGCTTCCTAGAAAATGGACAACTGTGTAGTGATTGTAACGAGGTCATTCAGGTGAACCATGTAGAATATTAGAAGCAGGGTTGGAGGAACTTGACCCAGTGCTAAAATGCCCCCGGAGGAGCTACAAAAAAAAAAAGAACCGGCCTCTGTTGGGGAAGGATGTAGTGATTGTAATGAGGTCAGCCAGGTGGACCTCATAGAATGAGTTCCCTGAATGGGGCTATTAATCTGGTCCAATCAGGGAGCCCTGGCTGACAGATATAAACAGGATTGTCAGAGGTTCTGTTCACTCTTAGAGCAGGCTGTGCTGGAGCATTGTCAAGGACTCTCCACATGCAAATAAAGGGTGTCTTGGTGATAGGATACCAGCCTCTGTGGAATTATTTCATCCTGGTCTTCGCAATTCCCATCATGGACTTGGGAACCCCTGCCCTGATCCCGACAACTCCCAACTCAGCGCCTTTCAGCCTCAGTCACCTAGCAAAAGGTTTCCCCAGTGGCTACTTATTTGCATTTATTCTCTTTCTAGCTGACCCTGCTCCTCTTAATGCCATTTTCTTTTCCTGGTTCACTGCTGGTGGCTCACAGTGAGCCTATCAGCTACAAGACAGTTGGGGTGAGTGGAGAGCAATACAACAAAAAGTGTTAATGACTGGCATCAGTGCTATGACTGAGATTTCAGGAATATTCTGGTAGTCAAGCCCCTCTGCTGCACAGATGTATAGGTATTTAAATTAAATCATTAGAATGGCAAATATGGTCCTGCAAAATCCCAAAAAGAAAAAAGAACTTTCACCAGGCTTCTTTAATAGATTCAAATACGTCCATTTATTATAAGACAAAATTTAAGCTTAGATACAAGTAGCAAACTTGGTTAACACCTAAACTATAATTCAGGATTAGAACTATCTCTTCTTGTAATCCCAAATCAAACACACGGACTTTCTGTTTTTGCTCTAACGTTCCAAAATTTAACTGGTTAAACTGTGAGGCAAGCAAATTGATGAAGCTCTGTGACTTTACAAGGGAAATCTCCACACTACAGCTGGTGAAGGAAATGTTCCTGAATCAATAATCCACAGGATATTCAAATTCCACCTAAA